CAGACTACGAAACTGCAACCACCAAGCCAACGGCATCTTCCACAGCCGAAGTTGGGTTTAGGGTTTAGGGTTTAGCGTTTAGGGTTTAGGGTTTGGGGTTTAGGGTTTAGGGTTTGGGGTTTGGGGTTTGGGGTTTGGGGTTTAGGGTATAGGGTTTAGGGCCTAGGGTTGCAAGCTCAACCAAACCAAAACCCCCAAATCCTGTTAAACCGCTCACGAGCCACAATGACATTGTGGCTAAATCCTGTGCACGCAAAAGTCCTCGACCACACCATGCATCACATGACATCACGATGAGAGTAGTTAATTTCATCATTGTCATGTGTAGGAACTCTAAACCCCAGAAAAGCCCGAATCGGGGTCTCTTTGCTGCCGAAGTGCTTGTCTTGGAGGAGTCTGGGGACGCTGTCTGCCTTGTGAATGCTGTTGTTACCTGCATCGCGGGAGAAGGGCTTGGGGTTCAGGACTCTTTTGGTGTGGGATTTACGGGGGCCCCCCCCGCACTCCAACGCACCTAAACTCCACCATATAGCGGCCTGGCACTTCTTGGGTAGCTCATATTATCATCCCATCTGAATTGCAATACATTTCAACCCTCCACAGCTAAACACAACGCACATTTCGTCGGGGCTGCTTTGGCTTAGCACGCGGTCGATCTCCTCGTTGATTTCCGCGATGCGCGCCTGAGCACACCAGGGTCCGGGGCTGCTTCAGCACGGACCAGCTAAAGCAATCATTGTTCGGGGGCCTCTTTTTAAGTTTCTAGGGGGTTTGGGATCGCAGGGCTTAGGGGTTGGGAACTTTTGGGAGTCTTTTTTGGGGGGTTCTAGGAAGTTGAAGGCTAAATGGCGACGGGGATTCACGCCCCGAAGCCCCAATGGCTCGGAAGCAGCAGTACGTAAGCCCTTAGCCCGAGGCCCTAAACCCTTCAAATCGGGCGCTCTCCGAAAACCTTAGAACTGAGAACCGGCAAGTGAGAAACCTGCACCTCGCGCAACAAACCCAAAGCCCTAAACGGACTTTCGTTGGGCTGCACAGGGCTTTGTCTGGGGTTTAAGGACCATAGCCGAGGACCCTAAAGCCCAATTAACCGCAAACCCTGAACCCTGAACCCTAAACCCTAAACCCTAAAACCTAAAGCCTAAGCCCAAACCTCTCAAGAACACAGGCAGTGCAGTGCGCACCGGCCTCCCTCAGAGTGTGCCAGAACTCATCGGACATGAGGCTTTCATCTACCTCAGGTTCTGGAAACCCCCAGCTAAACCCTGAACCCTAGGGTTTAGGGTTTAGGGTTTAGGGTTTAGGGTTTAGGGTTTAGGGTTCAAAAGGCTTAGGGAACCCCGAACCCTAGGGCCCTGAATCATCCTCTGTCCTGAGATTTGTCTGTTTGGCAACCCCCTCGCCCCCTCTTTCGTGTAGGTGTTAGCGTGATTAGGGTGTTTGGGGTTTAGGGTTTGGGGTTGAGGGTTTGGGGTTTAGGGTGCCCGAAGCGATTCCTGGTCTGTCTTGTGGGCCGTGCGACACCCAGGTCGCCAAGGAAAGCCTCTGGCCGCAAATAAGCATCAATCCTGGGAGCGATTTAGGGTTTAGGGTTCAGGGCTCAGGGTTGGGTTGAGGGTACGTACCTCAAGAATCCCCAAAACCGACTTCTTGCAGGCTTTGCTTCTCATGGCCCTATCGACTTTTTAGGTAAAAGTAACCTGCCAAAGCAGGTAGGCTTTGGGACTCATCAGCAGGGGCAAGCTAGGGTCTTGGAGCGAGGGCTTCAGCAAGGGAGTGTCGGGCCTGGGGCTATAGGATTCTCTGCCTTAACGCGCAAGGAGGAAGCATCTCGACCCTCAGCCCCCGAAAAACCAAAAGCAACGGGGTTTCGGACCCCTGAGACGCCCAGGGCTTCGGAGTAAGCTCTTAGAGGAGCTGTTGCAGCTTCAGAATCATCCTTGAGGGTCTTGTGCTATGGAACCCTACTAAACCTAAATCCTAAACCCTAAACCCTAAACCCTAAACCCTAAACCCTAGGGCTGTGCCCCAAGGTGTGTCGATATCACGCAAAGTGTCTTCACGCCCTTGTGGATCTCGTTGAAGAGCCTGGGATGGCTCTCCCTACTGGGTTCTTATAGTAGGGAAGAAGGGAAGTAGGGCTTTTTGTTTGGGGTTTCGGGGTTTAGGTTTGGGAGATAGGGTTTAGGGTTTAGGGCTAAGGGTTTAGGGTTTGGATTTAGGTGCCTTATAGAATCCCTTCAAGGGTTCATATTGAGGTGTGGTGAGGTGCCAAATTCCTTCATTGCCTACTAAGAAGCTGTTGGGCCCAGGATTCAAGGTTCACGAGTTGAGGGTTTAGGCCTTTGGGCTTTTCATAGGGGGGCAGGCTAGATCGAATGGCTGCTTGGGGGTACCCGTATGGACTCCCGCCCCGCCCTGATTCTGTCGGGTGTAGGGTTGAGGGTTTAGGGTTTCAGGGTCATCCTCATTATCAGGACCAGGACTCTCAGGCCTCGCCCCTGACTGCTATTGTTATGCGCATATTCCCGACCCATTGAGGCCTGAGAATCTTCAGGTTGCTCCTTCAGGGGTTTGCCTTGGGAAGTTCCCCCTTGCACTAACAGTCCTGGATGAATAGGGAGGGAGTATAGTAGGGGGGGCACTATAATATAATCCCTGTTAAGGACTGCTCGTATAAGGGGGAACATCCCAAGGTTTGCCCCAAGCCTTGGTCGCAACGGAAAGCGTGTAACCGGCAAACAAAGCGATGGGCAACAGAAACAGTGCAGCAGGTAGCGAAAGCCTGGCCTGCGGTAACCAGAGCCGCAATCCTTGCAACTAAGCCCTAAACCCTAAACCCTAAACCCTAAACCCTAAACCCTGAACCCTAAACCCCAAACCCTGACCCTCCTAGGAGAATCCTAGGAGCTTCGAGGCATCCTTCCCCGCCCATGCGAGGATGGTCGTAGGGCCGCCGGGATGGCGATCCATGAACTCGGACACGTCGTAGACCTGCTCCGGGTTTAGGGTTTAGGGTTTAGGGTTTAGGGTTTAGGGTTTAGGGTTCAGGGGGTAGGGTTTGGGTTTAAGGTTTCGGGTTTAGGGTTGAACAGAGGCTATTCTGGGGAAGAACAAACTGATGGAACTTTGCAGACAGGACGCAAGACAACCACAAGATTTTCCGGCAAAATGTTACAGTCCCCCCCTCCCCCACCCCATATACATAGACCGTTCAAAGGGTCTGACTCGTCTGACTATGTGGGGCCCTGAACCCTAAACCCTAAACCCTAAACCCTAAACCCTAAACCCTAAACCCTAAACCCTAAACCCTAAACCCTAATTAAACCCTAAACCCTAAACCCTAAACCCCAAACCCTAAACCCTAAACCCTAAACCCTAAACCCAGGAGTTCTCCAAATTCTTGTCCCTCTTAGGGTGCCCTACGCACTCTGCGGGCACATGTGGCTGCCATGTGCTGCCACAAACGCAGTTTGGGTTTAGGATTTAGGGTTTAGGGTTTAGGGTTTAGCGTTTAGGGTTTAGGGTTAAGGGTTTAGCCCTAAAGAAACCCTCACCAAGCCCTAGGCAAATCCCAAACAAAAGCCTAAGCAAACCCCGAACAAACCAAAAAACAAACTCTGTATACCTGTAAACACTAAACCCTAACCCTGCTAGACTTAGGGATCTGATCGGCCTTGCCATTCAGCGCGACCCAGCAGTCCTCCGGAATGCAATGGCGGTTGACCTGGCTGGTACGTTGTTTAGGGTTGAGGTTCAGGGTTGTGGGGGGCGGGCACAAAAAATCGCAATGGCGACCCAAAATCCAAGATGCTTCAATCTAGAGAACTGACGATATTCAACCCTAAACCCTAAATCTAGAGATTTGGGTTGTAAAGTGTGCCATTTAGGGCTTTTTAGTGGTGTTTAGGGGTTTTGAGGGTTGTGTAGGATGGAAAAGCATGTTCCACATGAAAAATTCTCCCTGCGTGAAGGGTCTGCAACATGTTACTTGGGGTAGCTCCCTAAAGCCTAAACCCCTAAGTCCCAAAACCTAAACCCTAAACCCTGTCAACCCTAAGCTGGGTTCAACCAAGGCTTGAACCAACGAAACAGGGTACCCTTTTTGGTTTTCAGGGGGTTCTAAGGGAACCCCGACCCTAAAGAAGGAAATAAGGGCTCCGGGTCCTAAACCCTAACTATACCCTAAACTCCAAACCCCCAAAACCCGAACAAAACGGGGAATCAGGGGTGTACTCCGGGTCCTCGCCGCCCTAAACTCTAAACCCTGAACCCTAAACCTTACACCCAAAACATTTTAGGTTCTGACAATTCCGTCCTCGCCTCTGAGAGCGGAATGTTCTTCGAGATGGCGGCCACGCCCTTGCTGGCAGCCACATCGCCGTTCACCGCCATTGCCCTTGATTTGGGGTTAGGGTTTAGGGTTTGGGGTTGAGGGTCTAGGGTCACAGGTCAGAGAGAATTTGCAGCAAATGCTATAAACACAAACACTTCCACTTCACTATTCTATCGGGCGCGTGCCATTGCTTGCAAGCTTTCTCTCTGTGCACGCGAAGTCATGTCAGGAACGAGCAGCCAAAAACCAGGTACCCTCTGAAACATGGCCAAGAGGCGAAGAAGGGCGAGATTGAAGCTGATCAGCTCCACTGATCTCTTGATATTATCGCTGCTGCGGGTGCGGCATCCGACTACCACTTAATTCGGAGGACAGTTCTCTGCCCTGAGTAGCCGTTCAGGATTAGGGGTTTTGTTTATTAGCGAACTCGTCATACAAAGCCTGAAGCCTCTACTAGAAACCCTGAGCCCTAAACCCTACTGGGAGGTTCAGGGTGCTTAGTAACTCAATGATAACTGCACTTATCCCAATCATAACCCTACTAGGGTACTAAAAGGCTTATAAGTGGGTTATAACTACACTTATTGGGTTATAAGTACCCTGAACCTCCAAGTAAACCCCTAATTATAAACCACAGCCACATGAAGCCGGGGGGTGTCGTCACCCAGGATTCGTCAACGGAGGCCTTCCTGGGAATTGAAGGCTTACATAGGGTTTATGGTCTCTGTCGAAGTGCTTTGCGTGGTGTCATGAGGGGTGCGTGCAGGGGAAAGAGGCTTCGGGTTTATGGGGCTTCGGGGTTTAGGGTTTGAGGGGTTGAGCGTGGCCTTGGGGGGGCTCCCAGGATTCTCCTCACAACCAGAGTATGTCAGGAGAGACCTGAAGAAACCCAACGGGTTCCTAAACCCTAGCCCTAAGCCCCTCCACTCCTGAACCTCGAAATCCTCCACACTTACTCCCCAAACCCTCAACTCCTGAACCGCCGAAGCCCTGAACCCGCTAAGCCCGACTTTCTCCCGGGGCCGATCGTACTAGGAATGAGCATGTATGATGTATGCTTGGCCAGCGTATATCAGACACTCAAACAAAATGCAGAGTGCTGGTAAATTTTCCAGGGTCCCGCAAAAAAAGACAAAGAACCCCACACCGCGGAAGGTTTTAGGGTTTCTAGGGTTCATAGGAAGCCTCTGACCGGCGGGAGGGTTTTTTTTTTTTAAAAGGTGTGGCTCGGACGCTTTTTTTAAAAGGTGTGGCTCAGCTTGCCTTCGCAAATACTGTAAATAGCAGCATTTCTGCGTTTTGAGAGGCTGCAAATACTGTAAATAGCAGCATTTCTGCGTTGTCAGAGGCTTCAAATACTGTAAATAACTGCATTTCTGCGTTGTCAGAGGCTTCAAATACTGTAAATAGCAGCATTTCTGCGTTGTCAGAGGCTGCAAATACTGTAAATAGCAGCATGTCTGCCGTTGTCAGAGGCTGCAAAATCTGTACCAATACTATAAATAGCAGCATTTCTGCGTTGTCAGATGCTTCAAATACTGTAAATAACTGCATTTCTGCGTTGTCAGAAGCTTCCAAGACTGTAAATAGCAGCATTTCTGTGTTGTCAGCGGCTTCCAATACTGCAAATAGCAGCATTTCTGCGTAGTCAGAAGCTTCACATACTGTAAATAGCAGAATTTCTGCATTGCGTTGGCTGCAAATACTGTACGAAGCAGCATTTCTGACATAAAATGTATATAGCAGCATTTCTGGGTTTTTCAGACGCTGCAACGAAGGGCATTAAATAGCAGCATTGCTGTGTTTTCAGAGGCTTCAGATACTGTAAATGGCAGCATTTCTGCGTTGTCAGACACTGCAAATACTGCAAATAGCAGCCTGTCTGTGTTTTCAGAGGTTGGATATAAATCATATGCTGTTATATAAACATGTATATAAAGATAGTTATTTAACTATATTTATTATTGTGAAAATTGTATATGATAATATGCTATTTAATATCAAAAAAGATAATACACTATCTATCTATTTATCTATGTATCTATGTATATGTATCTATGTATCTATGTGTATCTATGTATATATGTATCTATGTATCTCTGTATCTATGTATCGATGTATATATGTATATATGTCTCTATGTATATATGTATATATGTATATATGTATATATGTATATATGTATATCTGTATATATGTATATATGCATATATGCATATATGGACATATGGATATATGCATATATGTGTATATGTATATTTGTATATATGTATATATGTATATAGGTATATATGTATATATGTACATACGTATATATGTATATACGTATATATGTACATACGTATATATGTATATATGTATATATGTATATATGTATATATGTATATATGTATATACGTATATATGTATATATGTATATATGTATATATGTATATATGTATATATGTACATATGTACATATGTATATATGTATATATGTATATATGTATATATGTATATATGTATATATGTATATATGTTATATGTATACATGTGTATATGTATATATGTATATATGTTTATATGTATATATGTGTGTATATGATTATATGTATGCTTGCACGATGGGTTTCAAAAAGGTTCATATGCTTTGAAACATGCTTGCACGGCTAAAAAAGCGGGGGGGATGGGGGGGGGCGCAGCCCCCCCCATTTGCAAACTCAATGCTTGCATGTAGGTTTCAAGGTTCATATGCTTTGAAGCAAGCTTGCACGGCTTAAAAAAACGGGGGGGTTGGGGGGGCGCAGGCCCCCCCATTTGCAAACTCAATGCTTGCATGATGGGATTCAAGATTCATATGCTTTGAAGCAAGCTTGCACGGCTTATAAAAGCGGGGGGGTTGGGGGGGGGGCAGCCCCCCCATTTGCAAACTCAATGCTTGCATGATGGGTTTGAAAAAGACTCATATGCTTTGAAACAAGCTTGCACGGCTTAAGAAAGCGGGGGGCAGCCCCCCCCAACCCCATTTGCAAACTCAATGCTTGCATGTAGGTTTCAAGACTCATATGCTTTGAAGCAAGCTTGCACGGCTTTAAAAAGCGGGGGGGTTGGGGGGGGCGCAGCCCCCCCCATTTGCAAACTCAATGCTTGCGTGATGGGTTTGAAAAAGACTCATATGCTTTGAAACAAGCTTGCACGGCTTATAAAAGCGGGGGGGTTGGGGGGGGCGCAGCCCCCCCCATTTGCAAACTCAATGCTTGCATGATGGGTTTGAACTCGAACTCGAACTCGATTCCGCAGCGGTCTGGTCTGACCTACTAGCTAGCTGTAGTTCATGACATGTGTCACGGCCGCTCTGTGGCGGCGGCTAACAGCTTCGGGTATGGACAGCAAGAGACGTCCCGCAGGAACCGGAGTTCAACTAGACTGCAGGCAAAACGGTCTCAAGCGCAACAGAGCCTACCTGGACCTACCGTGAACAGAAAGAAACACGTGCTCGCAAACTCAAAAGGACGGTGTATGTACAAGGGATACTATTCTACGGCCGGTCTCACAGTTCGCTCACTCACAGGGCTAAACAGTGTGGGCACACTTGTGCCGCAGATGTCCTGGGGCCGATGAAGGTGCGGCACCCCTGTGCTGATGGAGCAACGCATGACTGCATATGGTGACATGGTTGAGAATAGGACTCGGTACACTGAAGAGGAAGAGCACAAAAACACTCAGGGAGAGTGTAGCTATCTCATTTTCTCATCACTCAAAGACTCCTTATCAGGGCGACCCGGACATGAAGTGCCGGTATCATGGCTCTGTGGCCGAAAGGTCGGCTTCACATGTGCCTTCCCTGTACATAGGAACAGAGACAGAGATTCAGACAGGGTTGCAAGCCTGTCCCCCCATGCACCCTAGAAGGGGGTGCACCCCCACTTTTGTGAGAAAAATAAGCTCTCATCTTCAGGCCGATCCGCTTTCCCCAGCAGGGGGCCTGCGGATGCAGCCAAGCACATAACAGTTGGACTGGATTTCGGGACTTAAGGTTTCAAGCCTTTCCGATGCGACACCGTCGTCCATGTACCAGGCTTCTGTCCTGTCCGGTATCAAGCCAACGGTTCTGTAGTGTCCTGTGAGAACTGATTCACCCAGATGCACAATGATAGAAATGAGGTCATAGGCAAGCCAATCACACGCTATGCTGCTTTCACTTCGGAAGATCGGCAGGTGGACACAGCGATTGTTGAATGTAAGAGGCACACGGGTCTTCCTCGTGACACCATTGGTCGTGGTATATCTAGGTAGAACAAGGAAAATGTGAGTCGGAGCTGTGCAAAGCGCATGCGGTTGGGCCTGCAGGTGCCAGCTAAGGATGAGGGTGTCCAGCTCCCCGTCTTGGATACCTCCAGGTGCTGCCAGAAGCAGCAATGGTGCAGCGGGCTCCCTGATTTCAGTTGTGCATCCCTCCTCAACCGCAACTCTCGCCTCCCAGTGAACGAGGCTATCAGTCCAAGCAAGCTTAGGGATGATGAACTGTATGAATTCACTCACATCATGCTGTCTGTTGGGCTGCGCCCAGCCTAGCATGTACATGCGGAGAAACATGGCTGCATCCCAGTGCGTTTTGGCAAGTGCCTTCTGCCAAGCATCGGGTATGCGGCTCCCCGGCCTGAGCTGTGCTTGCCACAGGGTGGCAGTTATGACGGAGTTGATGTAGCAAGTGTTGCCACTATTTTTAAGCTTGAGGCGAGAGACACTCGGCACACCAGCAGGTGGCCGTACGCTTCCTGCAGCGCTCAGATGTTTTCCAGGGCCTTTTGCAGTGCCATTGCCAGTCCGTGGCGTTGCTGGTTTGGCGGCTGCAGTTGCGCCCCCACCACATTCCAAACCGCGCAGTTGGCCAACTGTCGCAGTTTCTGATGCAGGATGTCTGCTCTCGGGTCTCTCATGGCTACTTCGATGAGGAACACTGCTTTGTCGCCCTCCTGGGGCTCTTGCTTGGGACGCCTTTGGGCGCAGAACCTGGTGACCAGATCCGGAAGACACAGCTCGGCGACCTGGTTGATGAGCTCCGTCGCCTCTTCCACCTTCAGGCTCTTGGCCGTCGCCGACGGCTCCACCTTTTTGGTGGCCGAGTTCCACTCCTGAAACACGAAGCGCTTCTGCTGGTCTAGCCATTGATGCTTCATTGCATTCTCCACGGCCGTGGGATCTCCCACCATCAGTTGTACTCTTGCCACGACCTCTTTCAGCAGGAGGCCCAGCGCAACGATTCTCATCGGGGGGACGTTCTCTCCTTTCTTCTGTTTTTGTTGCCATTCCTGCCCCGCCTTGAAAAGCGGCAGCAATATGGTTCCTGGGCCTTGTTGCTGGAGGTGGAAAGTGAAGGATGTGTCCAGGCGTAGACGGTTCAGGGCGTCCTCCTGCTGCAGCGACAGATTTGCCAGGAGCGTCACCACCGAGTTCAGGTTCTCGTCTGCAATTTGTCGCCGGCCTCCCCGCTGTCCTCGCCGGGCCGCTTTGGGTCGCTTGTTCGGTGCGTTCTCGGTCTCCCGGTCCATTTCTCTCGGCTGCTTCGAGGTCTCTCTCATGTTCGTCGCTAGCCCTGGTAGTAGGTTGCCGAAGACGCTCACCACTTCCGTCGTCATGTTCACAGTGTAGTCCTATCAGGGCACATTGGAAGATCACATTGCATTGGAAGTAATGTCTGGAGGGGGAG